TAAGTTGTGACGAGTTCAACTCACTTTTATAACTCCCTTTACTCAGCATTAATGTAAAATTAATGGTAAAATATAAAAAAATCATTTAAAATTCTGAATAAAAATTCAGACATTATATTAATTAAGCTAACTTTAAAAGTCAATTTACTTAGTTCATTGCATTTATAATGGGTAGGATTTCCAGACTATCTGTAGAACTTTAATAATAACCTTAGCTCCGTTGAGGTAATGAAGGAGTAATTATTTAAAAAGACCTGAAGATGTCATTGAATTTCACCTAGCGTCGCTTCCTTAAAGCTAATATCGTCCAGGGCGAACTTCAGTTCTGACCTTGTCTGGGTCTCATCAGCAACCCTAAAAGGAATTGAGCTCGGCCTAAATATAGTTAGTGATTGGGGAAAGTGTGAATATGATAAATTGGCGCAAAGTATAGGCTACAAAGAACAATGAATGTTAGAAAAGCAAATAATGGGCGGCTAAACTTCTGGGTTATGGAATAAGTGACCCATGTTGACGAAGTACTTTCAATAAGAGTAAAGCTAGATAAAAATAATTAGTTAGTATTCATTAAGTCCTAGTAAGCACGTACTTATTTTACAAAAACAAGGCTTACGGAAATCAGAAGCATCCCACCTGTTTCATTTCGGCCCGATGGTACTTTCAAGCCTAAATTAAGGCCAGACAATGAAGCGAAATCAGAGTTTTCATTCAGTGCTTGACTCGGAGAAACTGTTTGTTCAGCCGACTGAGTAAAGGAGTCTGAATGCAGGCCAGAGCTAGAAGGGCATAAAATTTTCGTCGACGATGACGATAAAAGTGTATGTGGCATCGCAGCCAGAATAGGTGGAGTAACAGATTGAAGAATTCCAGGAGATACGATGTCTGCTGAGCCTACATGAGACTGTGTGGATAGGCAGCGGGTTAAGCCGCTTTGCAGCATGGTGTAGGCAGATCCAGAAAGAGAGAAAGGGGTATTGAGAGAAACTAGGGAGCTAGGCCGATCTGTCGATGGTAGTGAGGAAGAAAGTGACGATGGAAGGAGTTGAAAGCCTGAAGGGAAAGCAACCGAAGGGACAATAGGGCCTTTAATAAATGATGCCGAGCAGTGGGAAGTCGGTATATCAAAACTGGTTTCGAAAGGGTTGATAAATGAAGAATTTATTCGAAGGGTTGTGGGAAGAAAGGAAAGAGAATCTATTTGATCCAAATGAGGAGGAATAGAAGAATATAAAGGTGCACAAGAGCTGTTGCTATATGCTGCCGGTGAACACCCTAAGTGTATGTATGGATCTGACAAATGATTATGGACTGGTAAGGGGGTTAGAATACAAGAAGTAGTTCGAAGTACGTCGGCAGCAGTTGTAGTTGGTTCATCGGAGTGAGCCGAGGACAAAGGCGATCCAGAAGTATGCATACTAGAAGAGGACGAAAGTGGAGTATCCGATGGATTTGATGCGAGAATGCGATGTTTCAACAGTTCATTTTGGACCAAGGTCAGTTCAGTGCGAAGTTTTGAAACTTCTGAAGTATAAGATGAAAGCTGAAAAAAGCAAGGTAATTCATTTAGGTATATCCCAAGCCAAATTATGTTTTAAAAATTTAATATCAACAGTAGATATCTTTCATTTACATGACACATCAAATAGTGATTAAGCACATATTAAAGTTCATGCAGGTAATTACTATTTGTTTGCAACAATTTTGGCAAAAAATATTTCTCCGGTGAATTAATGTGCTAGAATGTGTTGGTATAAAAATACAGCCCTCTGTCGGTGGCCTTCTAACTCGTCAGCAAAAAGCCAAACTGGAAGCAGAAAATATACACTGATGAAGTGAAACGATAAGGCTCTTTTATACATACCCTCATCGTAAAAAGGTATATAATAAGAATAATAATAGTAATGATGATGATGATTGAGCATATTACAAAATAGAGGTAAAAGTTGGATGACAGAATACATAAAGGTTGGGCTAAATTTAAGAGATAACGACATAAAAAGTAAATAAAATTAAAAACAAGGTATGAAGACCAAGATGGTGTGGCCTTTTGTGTGTTCGCAGTCTCATTTCGTTGTGTAGAAGTTCTTAGACCTTGTTTTCGCAACTTGGTCATATTGGTAGGAAGACTTAGAGGAACGCACCTAGTCCGTAGTCCATT